TTGAATTTGTAGACGATGACTGCTGAAGATAGAAATGCATGAACGAACAAAAAGAGAAAAAAGTCAACCATTAAAATAGGGACTATCTTTATTATGATTATAATTATTTTTATTTAATGAAGATTCTAAGTGAGAAAGAAAAGGATGACTACTAATGTGATTCACACTCTTGGTATAACTATGACGCACAGCGTCTTTATTATTAGCCATAAAATAATCTAGTATACAAAATGGAATGGATGAGAATATAACAATAGAAAATAAAGATCGACGTTGATAATCGAAGATAATCATATATGATGGATCCATTCCAAGCGTGGAACCTACCAGGAGAAGAGGACATTGATTTCTTATGTGACCCGGTTGTTTACAATTGTGACATATATATGAAGTATTCGATCGATGTGATGTCCTAGAAAAAAAATTAATAAAAAACCAATTCATTTTTATTACTTATAGAAACAAAACAAAACTTACAAATATCGTGATTGAGAAGTTTTTACGACTTCTTTTATACGTTCATCTTCACTCTTTTCTTGTGTCGCAGTATTATTTGACGACTAACAGTGAAAGAATTAAAGAGTAATGTTGTGTTTAATAAAGAGAAAATCGAACTAACCTGAGTAAGCATTTCTAATGGAATGGCTTTACTTTCAACAACTGAAGATGATGATGATGATGATGACACATTTGTTGTTGGAGGTATTGTCTAAAGTAAATTCGAATTTTAACATAAACATACATCAAATTTATAATGCTTGGATAACAAATAACAAGTTCTTCAAGTCTTTCTTGAAGTCATAAATTATGATGAAACTTTTTCATACCGTTTGACTTTCCATCTCAATTATAAATACGAGTCTAGCAAATGAAGAAAGTTTTGAAAGAATTTTATTGTCTCGATAGACATCAAAGACATTTCTCAATGAGCTAGAGCTCTTTTAGACTTTTATCTATCTCATAATAAAAATTTTGTTTCTAGCTAAAATATGTAATCAAACGATAATCGACACTTCAAATTGTTCTTTAGCTAATCAAACACAAGCTAGAGAGTGTTTTACTTACAAGCTGTGCTGGTTGAAGTATAGCAGGTCGAAGATACCTATAATATGATATCAAATCAAATTTGCAGAACAAATAAATAAAACTTACTCTTTGACAATATCATCTGATGATACAACTGGTTTTTGATTTGATGTTGGTGTTAATGATTCTAGTGCACCTCGAATACGTCGAGCTACAACAACACTTGTATTACGTGGAATCATATCAGAATTGTCTTTGTATTCTAAATATATTTAAAAACTAATAACATGATACAAAATAAATAAAAACAGACCTTCATGTGTTGTTGCATTACTAATAATTAAATCATAATCATCTCTTGGATGATGTGTTCCTGATCGTGATGATTTTTCGACAATCAATCGTTTAAGTTCTCCAAGAGAACAGCTCATTCCTTCGAATTGTACAGATTCAAAATCTCTGTCTGCTTTGTATTTATATCGAATAATTGACATAATTTTGGCCATATTGATGTATCAGATAGAGAGAGAGAGACAGCAAGATAGAAATATACACAAATAAAATTAATATGTGTTTATTCAAGGTAGTCAGATGATAGAGCAATGGATCAAAGAAAAAAGTGATATTATAAAAAAAACACGAGAAAAATGTTATTGATAATCGACGATCAAAGTAATGACAGACGATGACCAACTAGATGACAAATTGTATCAATCGTTAAACATGATCAACAAATGACGATGTTCAATAGAAGAAGATAAATCGAAGCATACTATATTTCAATCTACGAATCAAAAACACGATAATAGAAGTTGTCCTATTATTTCATATATTTATGATGAAAAATGTTGAAAACAAGCGAACGAAACGTATGAGTCATATACATATATATTAGTAATAAATAACTATATACATAGCGTTGAAAATCTTGCATAGCCATTACAAAACTACCTCTACAGTATAAGTAAATTTTTCTAAAGTAAAATTAATAAAATTAATTGAAAAATCAATGGCAATCAAAAAAAAATTTCAAGAAGTTTATATGGTACCATAAATAGTGCCATCTATTATCGCTACTAGTACAAAACTTCATATTGTTGTTTGTTGCATAGTGAATGATTACATGAGAGAAAAAAAGAATGCTAAATACTAACTAAATTTATTTTCAAGGTTAAATATTTTAATAGAAAAATAGATAGAAGTTGTGTTGGTTGATTGAGTAGATTTTGGCTCTTTTTTTCATTGGTGTGCTATCCAATTAAGAAGCTATTTGGCTATCTGTGATTCAATTTGGCAACGTTGGCAGTCATCTGTTTCCATCTCTTTAAGCATAACATTAATAAATAGGTATCTATCGTAGTGTGGCAATAATTTAATCGCTTGATCAATATTTCTTTTAGTTAACGATAAACATTATAGCAACAGAAATATTCAAAAAGAACACTTACAAAAATTGAATAGTCTTATCTTAAATTCGCAAAAGAGCTTGGAAAAAAACATATCAACCTATTGAATTTTTGATCAAGGCTAGTAAGAAGTAGTATCAGATAAAAGGCACACAACTTTCACTCATGAGCGATTTAGTTCGAGCATAATTAGCACAAATTGATATATTATTTGTTTCGAAATTTTGAGTCAGACAATTGAAGTGAAAAGCATCAAACCTCTTTTACATCAATTATGTAATGAACCATGCAAGAAAGAGCTGTACGCTCATGAAAAATGCTAACAAGACTTTCTCATGATCAGTGCACGCAATCAATACCCTTTGCAAATAAAATGAACGAAGACTTCTGGTCAATTAATTGATTCCTTGGTGTGCTGATGTATCCGGTAAAAGATCGCATAGCTTGTATATATTATTTAGGGAAAAACTCACAACAAATGTATTCAAAAAAAACAGAGGAAAAACAAAAGAATGGCTGTTCGACATTAGAATCCATTGATTATAATAAAATGCAAATAGAAGAAACAAGAATAGTGAGTGATTAGCTAACAACTTAGAACAAATATGACGTTCGGAACATATTTCATGTAAATATAATTCTTTAAAGAAAAACAAACTATTTTTGGTTATTGAGATAAAATTTCATTGATAGAACTCTACTTGGTCAGAGGAACATTTTATTTTTTTTTACTATTAAATCACTTTATTTTGATAATACTCCACAAAGGATCTCATTACAAATTTCTCTTAGATTAATAGTAAATAATGTGTTATTTGTTGCATTTTGAATTTAATTAACTTTTAATGAATTCTTGTTCATTGTCTGGACATCAATAGTCATACATTAATGACATATTTTGCCTAGAGTTTCTTTTTTTTTTGTCTAAACAACTTGTTTTATACTGGCAGTTCTAGACACAAGAGATTTCAGATGTCAATTGCCTATATATTTATTTTTCATTAATTCAATTTATTAATAACTTATAGGAAGTTTATGCTCAAATGACAGTCTTTAACTTCGAAATGTAGCATGTCAGATGCTGAGCACATTTTGCATATATAATGACAACTGACTCTGTAACACAATTACCTGTAGTGACTCAAAATATTGTCTTCAAGATGCATAAAATCAGTTCTCCTTTCCTCTAATAATGATCGTTTATTTAACATGTCTGATGCGAACAGTTTATTAAGAACTTAATAAGTGTTCGATGAAATCCGACAGCTTAAACATTGTCCTGCCACACTCAAAACGAATTTCAAGATGAATGAAACCTCTAGAAGAATAACTCACACACAACTACACTTAATAAACCTGATGTAATGTCTTACACAACAATAAGAAATCTGATTCAATTATATTGTAGAATAGTAATCGATGGTTGAATTTTTTTTGTTGCAACATTAAAGAAGAACAGAGTTCTTGTTGTTTTCATAATATATGAAAGAAAAATCTTGTTTTCAAATTGACAATTTTTTTTAAATTCATTCATTATCATATTCAGGTAAAATTGAGTAAACTAATGTAAGACCCAAGAACGTCATTAAGCGTATAGTCGATACACTCAAAAAAAGTCGTCTTAGTCTAATATGGTTCTTGTCCTCAAGAGAGACGAGCTGTGACTGAGCAAGAATATTCAATTGAGACAAATTTGGATAAGACTCTTCTAATGTTACTTTTGATGGTATTTCCATTTGTTCTAAGCACAGGTGATTCAATAAGTAGGAAATAGAATATCAATAATTATTCCCAGTTAAACTCTCATCGTTGTTACCATTGTAGCCTTTTTCATATGCAGTGATTTCCGCAAATACTATAGATTTTTATCTTTTCTGATTCGGATAAGTTCCACTTGATACTGATGTGAATCGACATTAGATTAAATGGCACTCACAGAGTTACTCTCTCTAATTCGGAACATCATATCATAAATAAAATCCATATCGGTTGTATTTTTTTGACATTATTCGCGAATTTTCTGGAATATTGTCTTAAACAGTTGCTCATTATTTGCATTTTACTCTTTCAAAAACGTCATTAGTAAAAACATAGTATTATACAGGAAATGATTCATAAATAACAAGTAAATATTTGCATTGGAAGTTTGGGGAAACTATCATTTATTAAAGAACTGGGTTGCATTGATACGACTGAGTCATTTCTATGAAAAGGTAAGTAAAGGAAAGAAACAAATTTGTTGTGCAAGACTGCTTCATAGATGAAAAATCATTTTATATGAAATACTTCTCATTTTATTTTATCGCCTAATAACATTCACTCGTTAAAGACACGAATATATTTATTTGAAACAAGTCAATTTTAGTCGTCACTGCCATCTATTCTATTATCTAAGTGACCATTGGCTTAGTTTCTGCCTTGTCATTAATCATTCTTCCTTTCTTTCTTCAATTTCTTGTCAATGAAATGAGATGATTGAAAAGGAAAAGAAATAAAATGAAAAGAGAAATTTATCAATTTATACTGTATAAATAAAAATTAACTTTTCGTATATGATATATTTTAGATATGAATGCATCCCTGAGATCTTCCCAAGCAAAAATGAATACTAACACGACACCAGATGATTCACCAAGAGAAGAAGGTAACTAAAATACTTATTATTCATTAATAGTTATTGAATTTTATGTATGTAGAACATGATTGGGATTCGTATTTAGTTGAAACAAATAGTGAAGCAGCGCCAGCAAGTAATTTCAAACAAGTAAACGAAAAGAATTCTTTCTATTGATTATCTTGATACATAATTTTTCTTTAAAGGCTTTGATTCCACCAGTAAACGACTTCATTGTTGGAGAAAAACTTGAATCAATTGATCCAAGAAATCAAGATTCATGGTGTATAGGAACAATTATTGAAAAAGATGGACCAAGACTACGTATACGATTAGATGGAACTGATGATCGAAATGATTTTTGGCGTCTTGTCGACTCAGGAGATATTCGTTGTTATGGAACAACAGCAAAATTAGTATGAAAATTTTTAATTAATTTATTTTAACTTTTAATGATTTTGTTTTTAAGGGAGGACAAATTGTGCCTCCTCTTGGTTTTCAACTGACTTCAACTCGGTGGACCAAATATTTTGAAAGAAATGTTAAGGATGGCCCGTTTGCTGCTGAATCATGTTTCAAACCGGTAAAGAAAAGCAATGAAATTTTTCAATTAGTTAGAATTTATCAATAAATTTTAGCAACCTTCGAAACCCGAAAAGAATTTATTTAAAAAAGGACAAAAATTAGAAGCTGTCGATCCAAGACATTCTAATCTAATATGTCCAGCAACAGTAAGTAATGTTATACCTGGTGATTATCGAATAATGTTATCATTGGATGGATGGAGTTCACTAAATAATTTTAAAGTTGATTATCTATCACGGGATATTTTTCCTGTTGGTTGGTGTAAATTAGCTGGAATTCGTATTGCAAAAGTTGGTGGAAACCGTATGAATTTTACTCATTATTTTAGAAATAAAAAAAAGTCGATAAAGAAAATTTTCAATTTTTCTTTAGCACCTTCTCGTGCATCGAATAAAATATTACCAACGAGTCCTACTAAACAAAATGAAAATGTTCGACAGCAGCAATCGAAAAATAAGAAAACCATTGTTTCACCATTACCAAATGATTCATCTCATTCACCAACAACTATGGATGAGAAAAATAATAATTTAACAACGAAAGAAAAAATAAATCAAAGATCAAAGACTAAGAAGGAGAATGGAAACTCAATTGATTCAGATGAAGCTAATGAAGATACTAAAAAGAAACGACCCATTGGTAAGAATTCTATTTTGGAAGGGCTGTTCTCTATTCACTTAGATGACTCAAGAAACAGATCACAGAGATCTTTTCACAGCGGCGCTACCGGTGCCGTTGCTGAGCCATGAGCAGCGCAGTAGCAGTACTTTTTTAACCATGGCAGTGCGATAGATGTTTCAAAGGCACTATCGTGGCAGCAGCAGCTTCCTATTTAGGACGGTTGTAAAATCACATGACTAGTTTAGCACAATGACGAAAGAGGTTTTCGAAGAATTTCTCAAAAACGATCACAGCAACAGAAAGTTGTCAACCATGATGAACATTTGTGGCAGACTATAGTTTATAGTTAGCGTTGAAATAAAAATTTTCAACTACGACATTTCATAGCCTCTAAATCATGAAGATGATAGTAACAATACATAGAAATAACTGTTGCAAAATCGATCGTAGACAAAAAACTAAAGAGAAGATTTCAATATCGTTTTTCATATGATCCTTTATAGAACAGAGTCATTTTGGAAACATGTATATAGTCAAAATAATATGGACAAAGTTTTTATCATAATCTCTGTGACATTAGAACGTAAGTCAAACTGTAGTTACTTTTGCTCATTTCAAGAATATTGTTGTATGCTATATATTTTGAGACACATTTCTTCATCCTGATTTTATTAAATTCTTCAAAAATGCGAAAAAGAAAGTAGTTCATATAGTATCACGAGACGTTATTCAGATGCAGTCTATAAGCGTTTATCGGTAGTTACCTGTTGCAGTCTGTTGGAAACGTAGGTAATTCAAACATTTACTTCTATACTTGAATACTCTTTTCAGACCATATTTCACAAAATCATGATCATTATATACCAATGAGATGATCTTTTTACTTTGATAAATATAAAACATATAGTACTCTAAAGTCTACACGTAGGCACAAACCTAAAAACAGTTTACATCATTACTAGCTTACTTTCTAATGCTTATCAAACTCAATCGAGTAATTGTTTCATTTATGAATAGGTAAATTGATTGTAATTTTTCCAATATATTAAGCAAGTAGCGATTTTGAAATGAGTCCACTCTGCATATGATCACATGTAAAAGCGTTTTTGATCTCTCTCTTTGAACTGTTGATAATTAAATATCACAATATTCACCTGTTTCATCATCTCTAACGTTTTCTAAACCGTTATTGATATCTTTCGTTAATGATATACACTGAGTCAGACTTGAAATCGGTCAAGTTTTTTTCGACCGGACTGGACCGGCCGATTTAGTTACAGAAGTCAACCGGCAAAAAAGCTAGGAAGACAAAATAAGCTAGAAAGGTCTTTTTTTATGCTAGACGTCATATTTTAGCTTTCTTAATACCTGCGGATTTTCACAGTTGCAGAAGACTAGTAGTTGGTATAACGTTTACAATAACAGGAGACCTTTAATATTCAAATAACAGAAGCATGAAGTAACAACAACTAGCTATTGGAAGTTTCTGACTGCCAGTGACAAAGCCTAGAAAAGTGAGCTCGAAATCTCTAGCAGCGGAATCTTTAGTTCAAACTATATTTAGGCTCTGATGGGCTCTTAACTTTTCATGACCATAATAAATCCATTCAGCGTAATTAGAGATCCTCCCATACGACGAGAAAGCCAGAGTTCAAAAATTAGAGCTAGAAGTTTAATGACAACTATAAATTTATCAGTGAAAAACGTGTACGCTCATGTCTGTTGATCTTTGAAACCATGAAAATCAATAAAAAAGAGCAAAATACACTAATTTAGTTTTCGTGCCCTAAAATTTGATAAAAAAAACCGGTCTACACCGGTTTTTGCCGGTTTTAAAAGTGCGACCGATCCGGTTCCAAGTATGCACTGACTACTCAAATGAAAAGAATTAATGAGGAAACCTCACCAACAGATTAAAAGCGTTTGGGCTCATATTCTGGTAATAAGTAGGACTTGGTAGCACTAGAGGAACTCCAAAAGGATTTGTCTCCATAGACATATTTGGTTGAGATACGGACGTTTCAAGTTTAGGACCAGAAGCATATATAAACTGCTTCTTTTTCTTGAATTACAGTACTGTAATATTTCAAAAGAAAAATTTCTTTTTGAAATATTCATAGTTAAGATGTCAAGCTATTGTAAAAAATCATATTGTTGCGTTTGTCTGATGAGCTAAGTGCTATAGAAAAGCAGCATAAAGTATTAATACTTTAATACAATAGAATTGTTTCATGTATGTGCTTTAAAAACTGTCATATGCATTTCTCAATTACTTGTACCTGTTGATTTGTTTGCATATCTCCTCATTCATAGTTTATTTTGCATTTTCATTTGATTGATGTGGTTTTTTAGTTCATTTGGAGTCGTAACTCACATCAGAACGAGTATAAACAAAAGAATAAAGAGAGTCTTCTATAGAAATGTTAGAATGTTGTAATTCAAGCATTAGAAGTTGTTTATCTACATTGTTGGATTTAAACGTAAGACATTCGTAACTTAACTAAAGAGACCAATGGGGACAAATCCTTTTGGAGTTCTCCTAGTTTCATCAAGTCCTACTTATGGCCAAAATATGAGCCCAAAAGCTTTTAATCAGCTCGTGGAGTTCTCTCGTAAGAGCTCTGTTTCTAAATATAGTAGAAAAAGTTTAACAGCAATGTATTTTTCCTATCACATTAGGTACCTAGCTCAAATCCAGATAACGATTTTAGTAGTTAATTGAAACTTTAATATAATGCATTCAGTAGCCTGTGGGTCTCAGAAGACATTGTTAGGGTTATTTTTTTAACAAAGCGATATTTAAAGAGCACAAAAGTCTGAATAAAGTGAAGTGTTGCCGCATTTTCTACGATCTTCTTTGAGAAATTTCAAGGCATAAAAAAATCGTAAAAAACTGTAATTTATCAGATAATGGACTGAAAAACGCCTGTTGTTCTTAGTTTGAAAAATATGAAAAAATATGTCGTTGAACTTTTTTCCGTCACCATATATACGTTTTATTTTTGAGATATTCCAAAATTTCTTCTATCAGTACAATTTTTGTGTTTTTTCCAACTGATCTTTTCATTTGACTAGCTTATTTTATGTTGTAAACGAGGATTATAAAATGGCTCTTACAATACACTGGAATGATCAGATTAGTAGAAATTTAAAAATGAATTTTCAATAACTCCATTAAGAGAGATCAACGATTTAAAGAGAATGTTTGAATTAAGCTGAAAAATGAATCCGTTTAATTGACTGAATAAATCTTTTTTAGTCACTGTATATTTAAATTATCTTGGTGATAATAGTGGAATGTTATTAAATCCACAAAAATTTCGTGTATCAATGCCATCAAAATTTGGACCCGATGAATGTCATGTTGTCCTAACATCAATATTTGATTCATGTATTAAATGTGCTTTTCAACAAGCATCATTTATTAAACGAATACTTGATCTATTTCCAACACCTAATGACGAAGAAAAAGATTCGTATACACAGATTAAATGTACGTATGAAAACATTGATTATTGTTTTGTTTCTTGAATAAAACTTAAGATTAATTTTTTTATAGTGGAAAATGGTACAATAGTGTATATTCGACAGTTTGAAACAGAAGTTGATTTTTGGGATGTTATTCGCCTATTTCAAAATATTATTTTATCTGGTGATAATCTTTTTATCCGAACATCACCACCATCAGTGAATAAGCAAAGTAAAAATAACAGAAATTTTCTATGATTATTCATTTGCTATTGATTTAGTTAATGATTCATCATCATCCTTATTTGATTCATCTACATCATCTAGTTCGTACACTTTACTTTATTATTTGAATATTCAACATAATAACATGTTTTTAGATAAAAAACAAGATTCTTCACAATCCTACCAATCAATAAGTAATAATAAAACTAAACGAAAAAGTACAGAATTAGCTTCATATCCCGGTATGTACATAACCAGTTTTTTTGGTTTTTCGAATATAATCTTTTCATTATAGAGAATAAAACATTCATAAGTAATGGTAAAGCAGCACGATCCAATTCGAATGAAAGAACAGTTTATGACACAAGTAATTACACTACTGACTGAACGTAGCGATATATAGGTGACAGTAAGCAAAAGTCTGAGCATTAAAGAAAAGAATGTTACTACAAATATAACTCAATAGATTGACAAATAAGGAAGCTGTAGGTCAAGTACTACTTTGATCTTAAAATACATGTTTCTCTATCATTTGAGCATCTTCATTTGTTTGAAATCGTCATTGTCTTGTTACAGTTTCGATTGTTTTGTGAAGAATCCTCAATTGTCGAGAAAGTTTTCCTAATAAAAGCATAGAAATCAGTAAAACAATGGTGATTTCGTACAAATGAAGTTGCTTAAATGATAAAAATCTGAGTGTCTTAAGGTCAAAGTAGTATTTAACCTGTAGTTCCATTATTTGTCAATTTATTGAGTATGGATTGACATCTAGGATCAGGACCTTCTAGATTCTTTTGATGATAAAATATTCAGCACTAAGACACGAAGTTTTGCTTACTTTTACCTGGTATTGCTACTTTTGGCTAAGAATGAATTTTAAAAAGTTCATGTTAATATATTTAGAATCTTCATCGAACACTTATTCACAACCAATAGATCAACATGCACGTATGTATTATTCTAACTACTAGAAATCAATATTGAATATGATTTATTTTATTAGATGGGTCTCGTCATTATGAACGATTTACACCAAGTGAAGTAGCATCATTTGTTCGAGGCATTGATCCATCATTTGATAGTCTTGCTTCAAGGTTTCTTCAAGAGGTATGTTTGATAATTAATTGATTTTTAAATAATCTTTTATTTGTTTTTAATAGGAAATTGATGGAAAAGCTCTTCTTCTTCTTACAACAGATACATTAATGAGACATATGGGTTTAAAACTTGGTCCATCACTTAAAATTGTTCATCATATTGAACAATTAAAAAAATGTTAAGAATTTATTTCGTTTTGTCCGATGCTAGTCTCTTCTAATTTTCTTTTTCTTTTTTTTTTTGTTCTTTTAAACAATTCTCGGTGATTCTCTCTGATTTACACTCAGTTGAGAACACACTTTATATTATTTTTGTATAATAACAGTGCACTCTCCATTTTCTCAATTTACTTATTTGTTCTGTCGCTGAAAAGCCTTATTTTTTATTTGTATACCTATATTTACATATGGGACTGAATGGGTTATTCGAATATCAAACTTCATTTCTAATACGTCTTCAACTGTATTAGAATTTGTTTAACTTAATATTTTATCGTTGATATTAAATCAAATTCTATTTACAGTTGAAAAAGTATAAAATAAAAGAAGAAACGTTTTATAGAGATCATTAGTTTGATTTATTTGATGATGCGCATTATTATTGTCCGTTTAAGTAATATAATGGCGTAATCTGATGATTTTAGTTGTGCTTTTGTGTGTTCTTTGTTGCACCTTTTGTGTAATTCGTGCGTTAAAAGTCTATGAATAACATATTCATTTGACTTTCGATTACTTATAAATGACAGAAGAGATTGTGGATGTCTGTATATAATTTTGCGATTAGCTTATTTTTTTATTATAATTAGAATAATCTTAATCGGATCCATAACTCTTTTTACGTAACAATTAATAGAGAGAAGTTCACTGTGCAAAATACTCGACTTATTTCCGTTTGATACCATATAGTTTTTCGCAAATTGACGGTTGACTTTGATGCTTTTGACATCCAACTTATTTTTACCATGATTTTAATTTTTTTTCAAATTACTCTTCAGAACATTTGTGAATACAAAAAAAAACAACACCCACATTTCTTCATGCAAATTTTCATTTTTGCTTATTCAAGTACCTAATCATAGCTAGCCAATATACACAAAGAAAAAAACTATAAAGATCTATTTTGAATGAAGATCGATTTCTGAGTGTAACTCAGACTTATGATTCTCTGTAGTGATTTATAAGTAATCGAAAATTGAAGAATTATATTATTCAAAAACTTTCTACACATTGGTTATTTTGATATTGTATGTGTATTTATTCATTCTGTTTTATATCGATAAAAAACACGAAGTATCTTTGAATCGTTTATTCTAAACATACACATATGTTTGTGTATGTCCTTCATCGTTTTCTTTCTATATGTATTTGTTGTGGCCGAACTTGGAATTCAGCCCAAATCAGAATTCGTCCAAAATTGTTGGTCGAATTCTGATTTTGTCCAGACAAAGTTTAGCCCAATTCAGAATTCGATCAACAATTTTGGATGAATTCTGAATTGGACTGAATTTCAACTTCGGCCATAACATATTTATCAATACATGATGATTTTGTTATAATTGATCATCATTAAATTGTGTAATTCTCTTAATGTTTGTTTGTTCGTTTTCTTTTTTTCCTTTTTGAATGCATGTAGTTTCGAAAATGATGGAAAGCTAAGATCTTTATATAGAAATGAAAAAATAAAATTTAATATAATATTGTATCAGATGTTGGAATACAACTGAGTAATGAATTTCACATTATATTGATGTAATTTCTTTTGACATTGATTTATTAACATGAGAAAATTATTATACTTTAGTGTCAATTATCGATGTTTTATTGAAAAAGATAAATCTTCTCATGTTTAGTTTAGATGTCTTCTATTAATAATATCCACAAACGTTTTGCATTAATATTAATGGATCCTCAAAATGGTTTTATTAATGATGGTTATTGGTCTCGTATGTTTCCTATTGGTCAATCGACTCCTATACTTGAATCATTTCAACGCATTGTATTATTTCTTCGTTCGATACCAAATCCTCATTTAATTCCGATATTAATTAGTGAAACTGGTTTTTCTCGTCGAGATCGACAAATTTTCGAACCAATAGCTAATGAAATATCTCAACATGGATTTTCTTCAATAACTCGCACTTATAAACCTCATACAAATCTTTCAATATGTCCAGGTGTTCATCAATGGTTACAAGAACAATTCGAGTCTAAATTAGACGTTGTTATTGGTGGATGTACAATAACATCATGTATACGTGATTCATCTATACAAATAAAAAAAATGTTTCCACAATTAAATTTATTTGTTGATCGAAATTTATGTGCAGCTAGAAAAGATAATTATGTAGAACGATGTGAAAAATGTTTAGAAAAATATATGATTTATGGTTCACCACCTATTCAAGACTGTACAACTTGTGTTAGTGAAGATTTAACAAAACAAATGTTATCACCTGTTCAATTAGCTTTTCAACAAATGAAAGATGCTGGAGTTTATGTTATTGATAATTATTCTCTAACAACAAATTCATGAGTTTTTCTATTAAGAGATTTTGTAAATATAAATAATATTAATAGCAAAGATTATTAATGTAATAATATAGAAGATACTACGATGAGTAATTTCTAACTATAAATTATGATCTTGTAATAAAAAATAGAATAGTGATAATATTGTATTTCGTTCTACAGTTAGATTAATATTTGTAGAATAAGTTCATTTTTCAATAATATTTAATCTAATAAACTTAACTTTAAGACAAATAAGTTAAAGTCAATACAATAATCATGTTTTTTTTTTAAATAAATATTAAATTAATCTTGAATCTACATTTGGTCTTTTATCGGCTGATGTTGAGAGTATAAGAGAAAATTATCTTTTACTTACTAAAAATTTTTTATTGCAAAATTATTAGCAAAAGAAAAGATACTTTCGATCACTGAATGCATTAAGACGACATGGGTGATAGAGAGTTTATGTTTATGAATAATAGATGGTGCATTTATGACAGATTGTATACTTATCTCAATAGCTAATTGATCGATAGGACAAAGTTAAATAATAATAATAATCTCATCTAATTAAAATGATCCCATTAAACTCACAACACTTCTAAAAACAAAGGGATATGAGTGTTGATTTTCTCTCCATGTACATACATTCACTCTGTTTCTATTATTTATTCTGTTTTGTGTAATTTGTTTTTTGTCTCATCTATTTTTGTAAAAGTGTGACTGTTGTTTCTTATAATGTCTGTTATTCTATTAAAAATAAATGTGATCATCAAAAATATATCACACTTGTACTTCAAATAAATTTGTTGAAACATTCCATTTGTATTCTACTTCTCTTTTTTTTCCGTAAAAGAATCAATAAACTTTTATTTGTTTCATCCTACATCAAAATGAATTCAATCAATTGATTTTATTTTCAATTAAAAATTACCATAAGAACTCAATCAATATGAACGATAATAAATAAGTTTCATACATAAATAATTAAATTGTTCTCAATGGAATAAACATTATATTTCATGTCACTCATTATAAAACTTGTTTTATCGTTATCATTTTACGTCATAAATATTGTTCACATAACTCATAGAAATAGAACCTTGTCTAACACAAGTACACTTTTGTTGTCCAATTCTTGTGTGACTTTGTTCATCGACACATTGAGTAAATATATATACATATACAAACATAACTACATATTTATTCATTCTCTATTGCGTGTGTACATGTTTCCGGTCAAACAAGTTCCTTATATTTTCTCTTTTATATAGAACACCCATTTATTCATTCGCATTTGTTCATCCTTTATTCTCCGATGATAAGTACAGGAAGTAATGGTCTCTCTTTTTTTTTCTTTTTTCTTGTCTACTACAATACTTCAAACATGATTAAAAAAATCACTCGACTTCGTCTATCCACAAGACATTCTTAACATGCAGAATTCCGCCCTCTTTTAACTGTCCACTTAGACGACACGTAGTCATGCACAAGATCTAGCCGTCCAATATGATTATCCAACTGATGAAGATGTTAGTTATGCTTAAATGAACGAAACATTTTTTTTTCTTTATCTTCAAAATAGTAAGTGATTGCTGTTCTCTTTTTTCTTATTTGTTCTATGTATATGTGTACATCCTCTATCTTTAATATACACATGCATTTATATGTAACAGGAAACAACTTTGATGTTACTCTGGTCAGTGGAAAATATTGTCATGAAATCATTTTCTTTTATGTTATATTCATTATTTTTATTTATTATAAAGTTTAAGTAAAACATATGTATATTTACAAAGTAACAACAAAAATATATTGTGATTTGACATCAGACACTCATTCACATACTTATTTTGTGTGTACAACCCTAAAGGTCATATTGTGTATATGTGTAGGTGCGATCAAATATGTGTCAGAATCAGAATCAATAAAACATAGAAAAAAAGACCGACGAATATGAGGGTTAAAACTAACACATATAAAGAGAAAGAGAAACAGAAGGAAAAACATAATAAATGACTATTGGCCACCTATTGAGGGACGACAGTCAAACAATAATACTATACTATCTTTGATGTTCATTCATCTAAACACATTTATCTCATATTCTTGTCTGACAAAAGAGCAACATATTGTTTGTAGTCGAATAAATACAATTCTATCATTCTACATTATTGTCTAACGAAAGTTGACATTTGTAAACAAAGAAAAAGTTCATTTAAATGTTTTTTCTCTTATTAAAATTAAAGCTTCCAATGAACATTTTATACAATGAATTAACTCGTTTTTATTTTAGAATTGATTATTTAAAGTCTGTAAACATTCTCATCATCATCATCGTTTGTTCGATTATTTGTTCAACACCAATGTGTCATTTCTATTCTGCGAAGAATACTTTTTCTTTCTCTCTCTCTCTCTATATATATATATATAGATACATTGTATATTGTTGATAATAGCGATCGCTTTTGTATTTAATATAGAAATAAGTACTTGAGTAGTTCTATAATTATCATTTACTCTGTTTCTGTAAGATGTTGTTGATATAGAATAAAGCTGAATTGATCAATCAATCAATCATCTCTCACTAAAAGCAGCTAGTTGCTTAGTGAACTATGAAAAAGAAAGAATTCGCTCAGTTGGAAAAATCGACGATCATTTCTTCTGCTTCA